TTTAGCCTGTTTTCACATCAGCACCCTCATCATCGTCAATATCTATTGGCTCAGGCAGCAGTGAGTTAATATCACTTATTTTTAATCATTTAATAACTCATGTTCGAGCAGAAGCGTTAGAAAGGTAGCCAAGAGCTCTAAGGTCATCATCTCTTTGCTTGTATGATAAATTAAACCAAGGTCATTTTTAACGCAAAAAGAAGAAGTTTGGTTTTGTTGAGTGAGCGCTACGGTTTGGTGATGTTTCTTCTACCTGAGACTTACTTTTTTTCTTCTACTAGGTGTATCTTTTTTCTTCTCATCTTCTGATTTTTGTAAAAACTAGTTACAGGATGTTGCATCCTTATTTTCATGTTAAATTCACACTATATTGTCGTATAGGTTGTGGCTTGATGTTCTCGTTTAGGCGGACCAAGTGCATCACTTGGGATTCGTCCCCCTCTTGATGAATCTTGGCGTGAATTCTGCGAGATGACCACAATCGATTTTGCCACTTACGCAACTTTAATTCAAGAAGCCATTGATCAGGGAAAATTCAATAAGGTACTTAATATACGAATTTATTTGATTAAATCATTTGTTTGTTCGATGTTTGCATTTGCCTATTGATGCGTTCTTATCCTTTTATAGCTAGCTCGACTACTCACTGCAGCTTTTCGCACCTTCATAGACAAGAAAGCTGATCAAGGGAAATTTTTTATTGAATACCAACTTCTCACGATGGCTGCAGTAACTTTGAAAGAATACAGTGAGAAAATTCAGGTAAAATCTGCTATGTTTTCCTTCCTTCTATATGTCTCTATCTTTTTACCCTTCTAGCACGTTGCTCTACAAAAGTGTTTATTAAATTTGATGTGTCGCATGAAGCCAATGAGCGCTGAACGGCAGGCTCTGATCTCGGCTATGGCTGTGACTTTAGCTAGTGGCCAAGCAACCTGGGATCCTTACTATGTCACTGCTTTTCTCCATGATTCACTTGGGGATCGAAATTGGGTAAATAAGGTGGGTATATCAGCTTACTTTTATTTTCATTCGAACTGTT